AGAGAGACGGGGCTGTTTCTAGAATGCGTACACAGACACCAGCTATGCTCTGCTGCCTGGTTTGGGGTGCCCTCATGGGCATGTCCACTCTGAGAGGACTGTGGCACTCACAAGGTCATGTGTGCTTCCTGTGGGGGTATTCTGCTGTCCTGACAGTCTTGCTCTCCAGATGGGGGGCAGGGGTGTTTACTCTGAATAATCTTTATCCCTAGAGCTTACATTCTGAGCCCAAATTCATAGGTCTGCTATCTCCCTCTATAAATAAACACAGACCTGGATTGAATATCCCAACTAAATGAGAAATGATAAATGTGGAGAGACCTGAGTGGGCACACAAAGTTAGTCATAGAGTTGTCCGTGGGGCTTAAGACTGGCCATATGTAACCGTGGAAACAACCAGGGAATTCACAGCAACTGACCTAAGCATTCAGACAGGTGGAAGCACAAAACTGGAAGCTGAAAGACAGCCAGCCCTGCCCCCATTTACACAACTCAATCTGTGTATGCTTTTTTCCACAGAGCTGCACAGGGAAGCCCATCAGAGCTGCACAGGGAAGCCCATCAGAGCTTAATATTCTTTATCAATGGATGGTAGATTTCAAATGACATTTAGCTATTTGAGTGGGAGTGTGCACATGTGCTTAAATAGCCATGTCGGAGCACTGCAATCTGAAGAGAGGGGCTACCTGGTCCTCAGGGTGCCACAGCAAGAGAAGAAAACACTGTTCACATTAATAAGACTTTTTCTCTTATGGGGCCAATGAGATGAGTCAGTAGGTAAAGGTACTTGCTGCCAAACTGAACAACCTGAATTCCATTCCCAGGGTCCACATGGTGGAAGAAAAGAACCGACTCCCACAAGTTGTCCTCTGATCTTGCACACATGCCATAGTATCTCTCTCTCTCTCTCTCTCTCTCTCTCTCTCTCTCTCTCTCACACACACACACACACACACACAGCATGCTACACAGCCACCACACCTTATGGGGCCAATGAGATGAGTCAGTAGGTAAAGGTACTTGCTGCCAAACTGAACAACCTGAATTCCATTCCCAGGGTCCACATGGTGGAAGAAAAGAACCGACTCCCACAAGTTGTCCTCTGATCTTGCACACATGCCATAGTATCTCTCTCTCTCTCTCTCTCTCTCTCTCTCTCTCTCTCTCTCTGTCTCTCTCTCCCCCCCCACACAAAATAAATGTATTTTTTAAAAAGACTTTTTTCCTCATTTACAACAAATCCTAGCGAAATAAAAGCTGCAAGCCACAATCCCTCCCTTGTGCCATCAGGTGTCCCTCCACTCCATGGGGACACTAGCCTGGAACTCTCCCATTGTTCCCAAGTCTCTGGTGTCCACTTCCGGTGCACTATCAATTCCAGTGTTCTGGGAGGCTAGGCGGATGTATGCTGCCTTCCCTGGCAAAGAACTCCTAGGATACCACAGTAGCCCTTCAAGAGAGGGGCTTCTGTTGTACTCAGAGGGAACCTGGCATAAAATAGTCAGTCTTGGGAATGGAGCCCAGAAAGATGGCACAGTGGCCTGAGATAAGGCACATAAGATATTCCCAAGGTCTGGCCACACCATAGCTACATCAGGCTTAGACATGCCTCATCTGTCTGCAGAGGGCATCTCCAAACAGAAGCCTGACTCAGAACCTTCCTGGTTCATTTATCCTCTGAAGCCTGAGGGTACAGGGTGGTAGACAGGACTGAGCACATTCAGACTAACACAGCCTTATGGCCCAGGACCTTAGCACATTTGCCATGACACAGGCTGGAAACCTGTACTATACCTATCTCTCACACCTGCAATTCACCAGGTACCTGTTCAGGAGTGTGCTGGTTAGGTTTTGTCAACTTGACATAAACCGAGGCATATCTGAGAAGAGGGAACCCCAATCAAGGAATTTCCTCTATCAGACTGGCCTGTGGACCTATCTGTGAGGCATTTTCTTGATTGCTGACTGATATGGGAGGGCCTAGCCCACTGTGGGCAGTACCATCCCTAGGCAGGTGGACCTGGGCTGTAAAAGAAAGCTAGCTGAACATGAGCCCAGGAATAAGCCAGTAAGCAGCATTTCTCCACAGAGTCTGCTTCAGCTCCTGCCTCCAGTTTCTTGTCTGAGTTTTTAACCTTGGCTTCCCTCAATGATGGACTCAAAGCTGTAAGCCAAATAAACCCTTTCCTCCCTCAAGTTTGTTTTTATCCTAGCAACAGAAGCACAAGCTAGAATAAGAAAACTCTAGAATGGGTCTGGGACCTGAGCCCTCAAGACCCTGGGAAATTCACACTGACCACACTTCATGCTGGAAAGAGAAGGCTCCTCATCTTGGGGCCAGACCTCAACCTACATGACATGCTAGAAGACAGGATGTCTCCATGCTTCTCCAACACAGTGAGGGAGTCAAGTACTAGAGTCTGAGCACCCTCTGTCCATCCCCATAAGACGTACTCCCAGTAGAGAAATCCATGCAGCTCTAGCAGTCAGCCTCCTAAGATTCCTCAGGACAGCAGCAACCTTCAAACAAAAACCCTAAACTTTCGAGAGCACTTAGCTAAGACCAGCTTTAATTACTATCCTCTTCTGGTAGAATGAAAATTCCCCTTGGCCTCTCTTTAACACAAGATCCCTCATTCAAGCTCTTTGTTAAAAATAACTTCAGCAACTGGCCATTAGGCAGGCAATGCATTTTAGTATACCCTTTCTTTTTTCTCTGGTTTGCAAATTGGCACCTTCCCAGAACATCACAGAAGACAAAAGTAGAATCTTCCACAAGACTGCCACCAACAGTACCAGGGAGGACAGGACCTGCAATCCCACTGCAGGGGAAGCTAACCCTCCTCCACAGCTTGCTACTTCTCCCTGGCTGTGGTCTGTAAGCCCCTCAACAGGAAGTAGGTGGGGGGGCGGTGCCTGTGAGCACACCACTGGCTTCTTTAAAAAAAAATTATTTCTTGGGTGTGTATGTACACACCCATACTTGCAAGTGTCATGGTGGGCATATGGAGGTCAGAGGACAACTTATGGGAGTCTGTTCTCTCCTTCCGCCATGTGGATCCTGGGGATCAAACTCAAATTGTCAAGTTGGGTGGCAAGCACTACCTGCTGAGCTGTCTTTCCAGCCCCACCACTACCATCCTAAGCGGAGCCCATCAGAGGGACAGCCTCAGTTCCTCCTGCCTTTGAGAGGGAAGCATGTGTGTTCCTCGAGCAGACAGCCCTACACAGGTCAGTCTACAGTTCTTCACCAGCTGGTTGGAAGCCCTGGTGTCTGGGTTCCACCATAATCCATCACTATCTCTCCTTTCCACCAAGACCTATGTACACACAGCACACTAGGAGCCTTCGGGCTTCCAGTCCTCCCACTGCCTCAGGCTGAACATTCCCTCAGCCTGTACCTGCTTCTTGCACCCACATTCTGACCAGGCTGTGCTGGGCAGGACACACATCTGGGCAGTGAATTCTATCTAGACTTTACTACTGCTGAGATACCCAGATGAGAACTTAATAGGACAGTCATTAGTACTGTATTCTAAATTAGTCTGTCATAATACTGCATCTTCAAAAGTGAGTCAGAGAGAGAGAACAAGAGAGAGAGCCCTAGGAGAGGTGAGGTGGGGACTGAAGGCTGCCACTGTCACCCCACTGGGACAGTCTGAGGACCTCCTCCTGTCAGCTCTCTGTCCTTTCATAGCATGGCCAGAAGGGTACCATAAAGGGAAAGCAGGATGGAGGGGTCTGTTTACAAACTTTCCAGAGGACTGGGCAGATCTTGCTGTTGCTGAGTCAGCTGCCATTATGGTAAAACAGAACTTGGAGGAGGCTGTTGAATACTGGGAACCAGTAAACCAGGTGAGGGAGAGGGCTGAGCAAGTCACATTGTGCAGCCCTGTGAAGCAGACAAAGCTGAGGTCTCCAGGTACCAGGCTAGAGACACAGTCAGGACAGATAGAGGGAACAGCAGTCAAGGCTTCTCCCTTCTCAGGAGAAAGAAATGACACCAGGATGTAAGGACAGAGGATGAGAAAGTTGTGATGTGCAAAACAGACTCGTTTTCAACCTTTGAGATTTTATAGCTCCCATCAGCCTGTGTGCATAAGCCTGTGTTGTGTACACATGCAGATGTGGCTGCCATGAAGTCCTGGCTCTGAGCCAGCTGGTCTACCCTCTCCCCTCTGTGGCTCTTGCCCCACCTGCCTGCTCCTCTTTCTCCTGCCCTCCTCCAGGGACTGTCCCTGGCTGTGCTCTTCTCTATGCTTTCTCCTGGCCTCCAGATGTCTTCTGTCACTCATGGGACTCTCTTCACAAGGGCAGCTTCACTTGGAACACAGAGGTTCAAAAGGCCCCGGAGCAGCTTCCTGCTGATCAGCATCAAAGACACAAATCCCTTCAGTACCCTAGACGCTGGGTTCCTGCAGAGCTTTTGGAAGATGCACAGGAAGGTGGTATGTATACATGTGCGCACACACCCACTCATCTATAAGCATCTTAAGGGACAGCAGCACATTGGATCCTACCTCTGCCACTCTCATGCATAGGTAGAGCTGCATAAACATGAGAGAATGCAGTCTGAATGCACCAGATGAACATCTTTTCCACCCAAGGCAGAGGCATCATTCCTCAGTCCTCAGCCACCCCTGCTTTGACAGAGCTCAGCTCTGTATCTTACTAGCACTGTCCTGCCTGCCAAGTGACACTCAGACAACTGTCCCTCTACCCTGAACAGAACATTGCCACAAGCCAGAGGCATACCTACAAGGGCTGCACATGCCTCAAGAGAGCCTTGGCTCATCACTCAATGTCAGCCCATGCAACTGGCCCCAAGTGTCCTTGATGGGAGTCTCTCCTGTGGTTCAAGAACAAAGTTGTAAGCAGAGGACTCTGGGAAGGGCAAAATGTCCCTTCCCTGCACTAGGTCCATGTAGTGCTCTTTGCTCTGCACAGGCAGGCATGCAAACCAGACCCAGAGAGAGCAAAGGTAGTATTTTCCCACTCACCAGTTTGTGTTTGAGATGGACAGTGATCAGAGGAGAGCCAGATAGGTTCTGGGACAGCGTGGGCGGCGGGGACACCTCCAGGGATATCAAGCGGCTGGCGGCTGACAGTAGGCAATCTTTGCAGTTGACAGCCTCAGGAATCCTTGGAAACCAGTGGAAATGGTTAAGACAGGAATCAAGAGAGGGTGTACAGCTAGAATGTGACCTTGGAGCCAGGCTTTCTGAGTCCCAGGTCTCCAGCTGTCCCCAAGACTTGAGGCAGCACCTAGTGGTGGCTGCTGTTGTTAAGCATCTTAATTCCATCCCTCAGTCCTCCCCTCCTAGAGGTATGGTACCAGGACCAAGAGATTGGGGCGGCGGGGGGGGGGGGCTTCAAAATACCCCAGAGAGTCTGGAAAAACAGGTTCTTAACAAAGGCCTCAAATCTCAGCACCTGTGGTAACCTCCAGGCGCTCCAGCTTGAGCTCTACTAGCTCTGCTTGAACCGTCCCTTCCCTGATTACATAACCATGTGGTCAGTGCTGGTGTGGTGGTGTCTCCTGTCTCATCTTCCTTTCCTTAGGAAGGTACCTCAGTTTCCTTCAGTTGGCCACCCCCCTCTGTCACGCACTAGGAACTGACTCCATGACTCCAGCTCCAGAGCAAGCCCTGTATCTGGGGCTGAGTTGGGCAGCACTGCAAGTGGCTTAGTCTTTTGACAGCTCTGGGACAAGGTCACAACCTAGAAACCTCCAAGGAGATGTGACAGGATTCAGGGGATAGTGCTGGGACAGAGCCTGGCTTTGCTTTGCTGGATGCCAGCACCCCCAAATCTCCCTTTTTTAAAAGTATGGAGAGGCTGAGAAGGAAGGCTACCCCAGACAGAGACAAGGGCTGGTGACATCACCTGACAGCTGAAACAAGCTGCTCCCAAAGCCAATGCTTGAGCGGGCTTTCAGCTTACATTATCCAATAAATTCCCCCTTTGCTTCAAATCATTCAGACTAGATTTTCCTGCCACATACCAATCTGCAACAGCCTAATAGACTCTTATACCTGCTTGGAGTTCCAAGACCAGGGCCAAGATGAAGGATGAAAATATAAGATACTGGTGTGTAAGATTTATGCTTGGGGTCTGGTGAGCTTGGCATGTGAATGACCCAGGGCGGGTGAGCAGTTCTTTCATCGTGTGCCTAAGTTTCCCATTCTCACGCTAACCACGGGGAGGAAGGGAGGGAGGGAGGAAAAGAGGAAGGAATCTTCGCAAGGGACACAGCCCTACTTCGAAGGGCTGGCAGGCCAGTCTGGCGTCAAATACTGGCAGGCAGAGTTCTCTCAAAAAATGCTATGTATGTGTGTGACAGTGTGTAGGTGCGTGTCATCACAAGTATACACACACACACACACACACACAGTGTGTAGGTGTGTGTCATCACTCAGGAAACAAGTATACACACACACACACACACACACACACACACACACACCACTATGTAACCCCAAGACACTTACTTTGTGCTGCCTGGGGGGATGTTGTTCAGGTAATAGTGCACGGAATGGTAGAGAAGGCCAACAATAGTGGTCCAGGCTACAAACAAAGCAGAGATCAGATGCGCATCAACAATTCACGTTCAAGCAGTAGACACACAGAGCCCTGCACACCCAGGGGCTGGGGGGCAGCAGCTCCCAGTGAAGAAAGCAATGCACGACAACAGCATTTGCAGCAGCACTGACAACATGGCTAGTCCACTGTATGCCCAGCTTTAACAATGACCCTCTGCTCTGTCCCCGATGCCCACTCCAGACACAGGCACTGAAGCCTCCCTGGGATACCACAGAGCCTCAGGGTCAGAGGGTTCCTTCATGGGCTGTGTGACCAACAATGCTGGCTGCCAGTTGCCCAGCAGAGAGCATGTCTCACTGGGTCTGCATGAGAGTACTTTTATGGTGACACTGACACTCAAGTGAAGCAGCAAATGCAGGCTTGCAAGTAGGTACTAGGTACTCAAATACCTGTAACATGTCTCTGGACCCTAGAACTTATTACAGCTTGCAGCAGGAATGTCACACTCAGTTCTTTCTCTCCACAAATATAGGGACCAGCCTTCAGCTGACTGAGCATTTTCTGCTTGTCAGCAGAAACATTCCAGGGACATCTTCTTCAACTCACGACTCACTCACTGTGTGCCAGGCACAGTTATTTATACACACATTGCCTTGTAAGCCTCAAAACAATAGCATGAAATAGGTACTGTTATCATGCCAGGCAAAGATGAGGTCAGCAGCTTCCCAAGGCCACACAGCCAGCAGTGGCCGAGCTAGGATTCTGACCACAAAGTTGAGGCTGTTTGCCAGTAAGTCCTCCTGCCAAGCAAGAGAAGTTCAGTGTGCTGAGAATGTGGGCTCTGGCAGTTTGGAAAGCCAGTTTCTAACACATCCTGTAGTGGATTTTAGGAGGATAAAGACACCATGCAAGGCTGTTGGGCAGAGCCTCTCCCCTGGGAGTAGGACATACTAGAGATCTTTGGGGGCCTTGCTAGGGGACAGGCTTTGGTGGGGCTTTGGCCAAGCCGTCTGGGGTGAGAATCCACAGCACTCCTCAACTGTGAGTGTCTTCAGGAGGGAGAAGCCTGCAGAGAAGACACCAGCCAGAGTTGGTCAGAACTTCCCAAGCACCAGTGTGTTCTTGGGCAGAGTCATCCGGGTACTTTTGGCCACTTGTTCTTCACAAGATTTGATTTGGACCTGCCCTGGGGTAGTTCCTGGGTCCATGAACAAACATACCCTATAGACACCATGACTAGTCTGAGCAAACAGGGGCGGTTCCCCATCTGTTCTCATTCACCAACCAGGAGCTGAGCAGATTTGGCCACAGTCTGATCCACAATGTCCTATGTGGTAGGCCAGACTCACAGGAACACAGATTCCCACAGTAGACTGGTAGGGCACATATCAGAGCCTTCTCTAAGAGCACCCTCCCCCTGCGGGGCAGCTCCATGGGTGGTAGGCAGCCATGTCCACTCACCTTGGCCACAAAGGGCCTCTCGAGGAATCTCAATGTAGCTGTGCCCATGGGCTGGGAAGCGGTAATGAGGGGCGCTTAAGGCTGGTAGGAGGACCTTGGACACAGAGAAGTCTGCAGAAGTAGACACATGGAGTAGGGTCAGCAAACTTACTGGCTGCAGGAAACCAGGTGAAGACCTTCACGTCTTCAGCCAAGCAAGCTCCCAGGGAAGGGGAAGTACCTCCAGAAAGGGTGGCCTCAAGCACACATATGCACATGTACACTCATATGCACACCCACATACATGAATGTGCATATCCACTTTAGTGAGAGTGGGGATCACTGTAGAGGACAAGTTCCCAGCCATACCCTAAGGAGGTTCTTAGCTGGAGGGACCCTCTCCTCATGCAGCCTATAGCTCTCAGTTTCACACTAGCAATAATGGGAGACCGCAAGTGAGGGTGGGGGTAGCTGCTGCCCAAGCTCTGAAGGACCCCATAAAGGCAAGGGAAAATGCAAAGATTGAAGTTGTGTGTAGAGGGCTCATCTTGGCTGACAGGCTGTCCCAGAAGCTGGCTCTGGGGACAGATGAGCTCCTGCACTATGGCAGGGTGCTTTGTGACACCCCTGCACTGAAATATTCTCAGGTAGACTCAAAATAGACAACCCACCTGCCTTTGGGGACCTGACACATCCTGGGAAACAAGCTCTCTCACTCCAGGATGCCCCATTCTGGTGTTTACCAGGACACTCAGGGAGCTGGCTTCCCCATCCTGCTCTGAGCCCAGATGACTATCATGAAACACCTATGGTTCCCACCTTGCTGTGAGGTGCTAACATAGTCCTGTGTGTACACCTTCATCCAATACCTGTAGCCTGATTCTAACCCATTTTCCTTCAAAATGTGATTTTTGAACAAGGCAACATAGCCAAGGGAAATTGCAAGGTTTATCTCACCTGCTGTGAGGCCTAGGTGGCAGGAAGCCCAGAGACCTGAACACTTTGCTCTTTTTCCCCCTCACTCCCCACAGTGCCCCCATCTGAGGACAGCTACCTGCCATGGAGGAGGAACCCATGAGGGTGATGTGGGACTCTCTGGGATGCAGGTTGGATGCTATGTGGCCCATGACGGTGTCGATGGTGTCAACCAGGCCCAGTACCACAGCGTTGTCCTGCAAGCAACACAGACATGGAACCCTGAGGATGACCTCATCCAGTGATCACACAACATGGCTCATCTAGAACTCAAGAGTTTCACTTCTTTACAACAGCTGAGGAGAGGAAAAGTCATGCAACTGCCAACTGCCCCACCTCACAGACAGGTAGGCAGCCATATGCCTGATGTTTTCATGGAACATAGACACAGGTCAAAACTGCCATAGCATTGGCACCTGAGTGACCAGAGGGCTCAGACATTTGTTTCTAGCTTTGCTCTGCACCTCCAGAGACCTCAGCAAGTCTCAGGCCTGCCCCTGCCCCTGTGCCTCACAGATGCTGTCCCTGTGTCCTCTGTAGCATGAGGACCCCAGAAGTTCTTTTCCATTCTCAGAGAAGGGGTAGCCACTTTGGGGGTGCCAGCCCCCAAATTCTCTCTGGCTTCCTTGATTCTCCACCCCACCCTGACAATAGCCTCTTCATCCATTCTGCATCCCCATAGCAGAGAGGAACAAATTAGGTACATTAGATGCTGCCCACAGAAAGGCTGGGTCCCTCCTGGCCACATGGACCTCTTTCTACTGCCAGCTCAGGGGGACCTCAGGCTGACTATTCTGGTCCTCAGACACCACTGCAAAGAAGAACACCTCCCCTATCTCAGCCCATTCCCCATCCTGCTTGGCCCTGTTCTATCGTCCTTTCTGCTTTTCTGAGACAGCATCTGTCATTGCTGAGCCCTCAGCACTCTGACACTAATACTCCAGGAGGACCTACTACACCAGAACCAGATGCAGAGACCAATTTTAGACATTGTCTCTTAGTCCCATGGTCTGCTTTCAATCAGGGCGTAGGTGTCTCTGGCACACAGTTCTGTGGGGAGCAGCGATTCATGCCTTCTCTTCAGTGTGCTCAAGCCTGCATAAGCCTGGATTGTTTCATGATTATCCACATTTTGCAGGTTTGCATATTTTACATTCAAAGAAAGTTCATTTAAATCAATAAAGAAAATCTGTCCTTCCACTTCTGTCCTTCCTCCCCTGCCTGCCCTCCCCATGCTGCCTGTCCTCTCCATGCTGGCTGGGCTCCCCACACTGGCTGTTCACCCCACCTGGCTGTCCTCCCCACACTGTCTGTCCTCACATTGGCTGTCCTTCCCACACTGGTTGTCCTCCTCACACTGCCTGTTCTCCCCACACTGGTTGTCCACCCAACACTGCCTGTCCTCCCAACACTGACTGTCCCCACGCTGGCTGTCTTCCCCATACTGGTTGTTCTCCTCACATTGGCTGTCCTCCCCACACTGGCTGTCTTCCCCATACTGGTTGTCCTCCTCACACTGACTGTTCTCTTCACATTGGCTACCCACCCCACACTGGATGTCCTCCTGACACTGACTGTCCTCACACTGACTGTCCTCCCCACACTGACTGTCCCCATACTTGCTGTCATCCCCACACTGATTATCCCCACACTGGCTGTCCTCCCCACAGTGACTGTCCTCACACTGGCTGTCCTCCCCACACTGACTGTCCCCATACTTGCTGTCATCCCCACACTGATTATCCCCACACTGACTGTCCCCACACTGGCTATCCTCCCCACACTGACTGTCCCCACACTGGCTGTCCTCCCCACACTGCCTGTCCTCCCCACACTGGCTGTCCTCCCGACACTGACTGTCCCCATACTTGCTGTCATCCCCACACTGACTGTCCCCACACTGGCTGTCCTCCCCACACTGTCCCCACACTGGCTGTCCTCCCCACACTGCCTGTCCTCACACTGGCTGTCCTCCCCACACTGACTGTCCCCATACTTGCTGTTATCCCCACACTGATTATCCCCACACTGACTGTCCCCACACTGGCTATCCTCCCCACACTGACTGTCCCCACACTGGCTGTCTTCTCCATACTGGTTGTCCTCCTGTGATTCAGACTGCAGCTTGTGCACAAAGTCCCTTTGAAGCCTATCCCTGGAGGTCTGTGCTTCTTGGCGAAGAATGTGTTTCTATGCAAGACTGTGTCAATCTTACTTTTTCAATCCCCTTTTCTCCCTATGCCAATGTTAAGCAATCTCATTTCACTTGAAATTGTTCAAATAAAAAGCTCCACAAAATGCAAACCTTCCTGTCAGGTGAGAATTGGATGTGTCTTCTGTCTCTCAACCTTGCAAAACCTTTAAACATTTGAAGTGAGGTATGTTCAAGAGAATGAGCTCTGTAACATGCTGGTATGATCCAGGTCCTGCTGGGCCAGGGTACTTAGGAGTCCTCATCCTCCTCCCTCTCATTGCAACCCTGGAAGCCATATGTGCACAGAAGCAGCAGGTGGACAGATCTGGGGCACTGAGTCACTGACTAGACTCTGCATATTTGAAAAGAGAAAGTCCACTACACCAAGCTACTCTGAGGTAGGATCTGTTGTTACTGTGGCATGACTTTCCTGACCTGATTAACATGTGCTCAGAATACAGAACACCTTGACAACTGTTCTCTTTCTTTTCCATTTTTCATGTGTGTGTGTGTGTGCATGTGTATATCTGCATGTTTTTTCATGTGTGTAGGTGCACATGTGTGGGTGCATGTGTACGTGTGTACGTGTGTGTGTGTGTGCGCGCGCGCGCACGCGCACGTATGTTGAGGCCCAAGGCTAATGTCAGGAATCTTCTTCTAATATTCTTCCGTCTTATTCATTGAGGCAGAGTCTCAGTCAAATCCAGAGCTCACCAATATGGCAAGTCTCACTAGCCAGTTTGCTCTGGGAATCCAGCTTCTGCCTTCCAGGGTTGGAATTAATTACAAGCAGGTCTCCACACACACACACACACACACAGCACTTATATTGGTGCTGGGGATTTAAACACGAGTCTCCATGCTCATTCAGCAAGCATTTTAATCACTGAGCCATCTCCATAGCCCCACTTTGGCAAATGTTCTTGACAGAATTAAGAGGAAGCAGGTTCTATTATGTCTGTAGAACGTATGTGTGCAGAGATCTGTAGCACATATGTGCTCATGTGGGAACTGGCAGCCAGACTGTGGGTGATGCCAGTCTCTACTCACCATCACCTTCCGCCTTAAGTTTTCGGGTGATTTTTATCTTAGGTATTTTTATCATCTTCATTCTCCAACTTCTTCACAACTATTCATTGACTGTTCTCATGTTTTAAAGAAGGAACATCAATAAGACTTTTAGAAAAAAAAACCCATTCCATTCTGCATCTTGATTTTTGAGTGCAGGGGAACAAAAGCCTTTCATTTTCTCACTTTAATCATGAAGCACGCTTCTGCACTCTGCTGTCTCCACTCAATCCACTGATCTTTAAATGCCAAATATGGTTCTTATGACTATTCAATGCAGAGTAAAAAAAAATACATTATGTAAAATGACAGACAAAGGTCAGCTCTCACAGAGAAATCAGCTGCGCCCCCCACCCAGAGACAGTAGCATGAGACTGAGGGTCCTATGGCCCTGTACAGGGCAGAAGACACAGCACCTGCATGCATTGTGTCCAAGGGAAATAAGCTTCAATTCCCAGATATCAAGACTGAAACAGGCCTCATTGCTTTTAGCTAGTCAGGACCCTGAAATGAACTGCAGGAAGACAGAGCCACTCCCTGTACATGTTGAAGGACAAGGCCTGCTCCCTCTTACCTCTGATACTTGGGTCCAGCTGGGCAATAGAAGCACTTCACCCGCAGTTCTTAAGAAGGTCTAAAGGTGAAGAGAATGACACTGCTTAGCACAGGCCCTTGAGCCTCACACCTGAGCCCACCTGTCCTCCTGAATCTCTGCCACACGTCTCTTCAGCAAGCACTTAGTTTAACACACAGTCGGGGAGACAATAATAGTTCACATTCAGGCATTACAATATCAGGCTATATCTGTTTTATTTTCCATTTTCATGTGTGTATGTATTTGCTTGTGTGTGTAGTGTGCATGTGTGTGTGTGTGTGTGTGTGTGTGTGTGTGTGCAGAGTCTGAAGGTTGATGTCAGAAATCATCCTCCATCTTTCTTTCACTTTATTCATTGAGGCAGGGTCTCTTAATCAAAGCCAGATCTCTCTAACATGGGTAGTCTCACTAGCCAGCTTGCTCTGGGGGTCCCCTGTCTGTCTTCTGAGGATGGAATTACAGGCAGGCTGTCATGTCCACCCAGCATTTACATGTGCTCTGGGGATCCAAACTCAGGTCCTCGTAGCTGTGGAGCAAGCATTTTAACCACCAAGTCATCTCCCCAGCCTCAGGCTGCAGCTTATAGATGCTATCTCATTTGCTCCTTGTGAAAACCCTGTAAGGTCTGTGACCAGAATATGGACATCACAGTGGCCACTACTCAGCTGTGGCAGGAACCCAAGCCCAATGCTGGGGGACATTCATCTCTTGCTACAAACACCAGAACCACACTCAGAGCCTAACTCCTCCATGTTTCCTCCACATACTAACAAAACCCGATCCTTCCTCACTGTAGACACCAAGTGTGTACAGATCGCATCATCCAAGTGCCCCTCTCTCATTCATCTTCATTCCACAGCTGTTATTAAGACTCTGAAGTGCAAGGTCTTAACTAAAGACAAACAGAATGCTCCTGCTGTCCCTCCTTGGGCAGGGGGTCAGCAGGTGGCTTCTTTCATTCCTTCTTTCTCCTCCTTCCTTTCTTCTTCCTCTTCATCCTCTTCTTCTTTTCTTCTCTTCTTCTGAGACAAGATCTCTTGTAGCCTAGGCTGGCCTCAAACTCACTATGTAACCAAGGATGACCTTGACCTCCTGATCTCCTGCTTCCACTTTCCACATGTTAGGATTTCAGGTGTGTGCTACCACACTTGGTTTATGTGGTTTTGGGGATCCAACCCAGGGCTTTGTATATGCTGGGCAAACACTCTCACAACTGAGCTACATCCTAGAATCCCAGGACTTTTCTTGAAGAGCCACAAAGTAAGAGCTTCCGATTTTCAGGCCATACTCTGGAGTGCAGAAGCATGAACAGGGCATAAGTGAATGGCTGGATGCCCACAAAACTCTGCTACAGAAACAGGCCTTGGGTCACATTTGGCCTGAAGGACAGAGTGTAGTTGTGTAAACAGCAATAAACGAACCACGTCGGTCAGTTTGAATTTTTCTTTTTTTGAGGCCCAGCCTCATGATGTAGATTTAAGGCCCTCTGCTTCCAAGGTGCTGGGATTACAGGTGTGTGCCACCACAAGTTAGTATTAATAGGTAGACTTGCTTTCTAAATTATTTGTTTACTAGTTTCTGGTCTCTCCTCTCTTTTAAAGATATGTTTATTTTATGTGTATATATGTACCTGAGCGCATTATGTGTACCGTGTGTGTAGTGCCCACAGAGGATAGAAGAGGGTGTCAAATTCCCTGGAACTGGAGCTACAAGCAGTCATGAGCTGCCCTGTATCGAAGCTGGGAACTGAACCCAGGTCCTCTGCGAGAGAAGCAAGCACTTATAATCACTAAGTCATCTCTCTAGCCCCTATAGTTAGATATTTTATGTGAAATTTCCACACAGTGTTGCACTTGGTTCACATGTCTACTTTACATGAACTGCAAACATGACACTTAAGAGCACACATGGTTGACAGCTACTACCCTACACAGTCCAGGAAGTGGTCCCTGGCCACTATGCTGGGTTATCACCAGTGGAGAGGAGCCAGGACACTGTGGAAAACTGCACAGTGACTTCCCAGGACTTTTATTACCCACCAAACCAGAGTTCAGCAGAACTGGGGGTCAGTCTGTATGATTTGTCTCCAGGACATTAGAGTCAGGTCTTTTGGGACAGGCCACACAGAGGTCTCAAACTGATGACCCCCTAGGCTGACCCCTTGAGAGATCTTTTATTGGATCTGTGCACATTTCTTTTTAAAACTCCAACTAACTGCCCATGTTTTCAAGGTCTAGGCGTTCCCTTGCTAAATCAGAGGAGGCCAGGTGGCTTTGAGTGTCTGGCTGCTCTCTGTAGATGAGCTGCAAGTTCAGGGGTCCAGCCCCCTGCATCCCTTTACTTTGCTTGTTGGCCCCCAAAGTCATCTGGGTTTGCAATCTCTGAGTCTGTGAGGTTTAGCCGAGGAGCAAGGAAGTTTCACTCTGCAGCAAGCAGAGTGAAGCCACCAAGTTTAGGAGATGTCTCCTATGTGAGCCTGTATTAAAGTCTGTGCTCAATACACACTGTTAAAGGGCATGGAGCCACCTCGGCCATCTTTCCCTGCCTCATTCTGTCCCCACCAGACATCCTATAGCCCCACAATGATTTTAGCAGCACAGCCTACCTGGCCTGCCCCGAATCCCTGCCTGCTCTGCTCCATGTCCTTTCTGCCAGATAGATGGCAACTCTTCCCCCATTTCTTCAGTCTCCCAGCACAACTCAAGGAAGCAACAGTTCATACCTGCCACAGTCCCCTTCTGCCAGCATCTTTCAATAGGTGACAAAGGATCACAAGAGCTAGCCCTGGAGTTGGTTGAGGGGCTGGGGAAGGGCACAGACTTCTGGAAGAGTCCAAGGAGAGATCCCAGAAACCTGCACCCCACAGACAGCTCCACAGAGAACCAGACATACTTCAGGCTGTGATGGAAGACGTATAGCCAGGGTCCCCCATCAGGTACCTCAGTGTCACCCACAAGGCACCCAAAGGCACTTACTAATTAGTGAGCTCACCTGTGAGTATTCAGTTATAGCTCATTAAACCATCCATTTCATAATCAGTAAAGTTGGAGTGGTGTTTAACAAATGTCTAATTAACTGATTAATCCTCCCACTGAAGCTGCCTCCTCCCCAGACACTCTGAAACACAGGGACCCAAAGCAAGTGTCTACTGCATACCTCTGAGAGCCTCGAAGGTAACCAATGCCACTTAGAGGACACGGCACCAAGATGGGAATTTATCAGGCACCAAGCACATACTCACTGGTGCTGAGAAGGATTGGAACTAATACCAAGAGTAGATATTGATTAAGCACCAAATGCATACAAAGAACAAGCTGTCACAGTGATCCCTGGTAGAATTTAAAAGTAAAAGAGAGGAACCCGTACTTATGAATACCAAACCCTGTCCAGTATATCACACACCATCCCCCACTGATAGGCATAGTGACCTACAAGGTTGCCCAGATTTGGTGACTTTCCACCCAACTCTAGTCCTCTCTTAGTGATTGAACTACTGTGCCAATCCTTTTCTCCTGGGATAGTGATTAGTTTAGATGAGGTCTTGAGTCCAGTTCTGACCAATATGGGTATGTGGCTGCTTTCAGGGCATGATGGGAAGGCCCTATAAACAGAAAGCCACCTACTCTCCCCCTCTCCAGACACCCAGGGCAAAGATCTGGGTGTTGGTTGTATGGACACAGGAACTGGGTCCACTGGGATACCTTGTCCCAGAACAGAGTACTCTCAGTGCCCACAGACAGTGGCCAGTATACAAAAAGGAGGGTCATATGGCAAGTCCATCCAGCTACTGTCACAGCTGAGAACTTAGGCACCAGAGTCCATGCCTGCTCCAGGCCCAGGTTCTGTTAACCACCATGCAGGTACCAGATCAGGGCATGGACAGTTTCCACATCCCCAGCGAAACTAAGGCCTACAGTGTTAGTGTGCCTACTATGCACCTGGGAACACAGGGCTCATACCTGGCTTATTCTACCCCAGGACCTAGAGCCTGAGCCAAACTGTCTGAGCCCACCTCTCCATAGCACTTTCTAGAACCTGTATCACTCTTTATCCTTCAACTTCTTGAAAGCCAGCATGGTTCCTGCTGATATGGAACTGCAGAACCTATGTGTTCTAAGAGGTGATGAACTCTCAGGTGTTCAACTTGCTTCTCCTACCCTAATCACAAAAGCTGTTGGAAGCTACTACCAACTCCAACATGTCTCCTCCACTCCGGGGAGCCTCCAGAGACTCCAACATGCCTCCCTCCACTCCAGGGAGCCTCCAGCTACTGAATTCAGGTTTGTCATGTTTCTCTGGGCATGCCTTCAGCATGCAAACCCTGAGAACTAGAACCTTCAAGACACACCAGTCTTGTACTAGACACTGAAGTGTGCAGGGCCCCACACAGAGATGGGCACTGTGACTGTTGCCTCCACATCTCAGAACAGTCAGATGAGCCAGTGACATTCGTCCTCTGACCAGTGTACAACTTTGAAACCTGTAGAACAAAGGCTAGCCCGGCATCAGACTCCATACTCCCTGCTCACAAGCCTTAGGCTATATTCTCAAGGACAGTCCACCTCAAGCATTCCTTTTCTTCCATACCAGCCAAGCCCAACACGAGAAAAAGGCACACTCACAAGACCCCGCAAGCTCCTTCCTCTTCAACTGGGAATTGTTTGGATGAGTTAAGACAGTGTCTTGACTTTAACGTCCTAAGTGTCACATTCTCCCCGGAGTGCTCTAGGTGACTTAAGTTCCACTGTGCGCGCACTGATCTGTGACATCTGCCAATCTCTCCCCCTCCACCTTTTTACTGTTGCCAAGGAGACATCAACTTGAGACAGTGAACTGCAAACCCAGATGGCTTCCAGGGCCAGGTAGATATGGGGATGGACCAAGGGGACTGGAAGCTGGGGAAATGAAAGGAAAACCCAAACCCCAACTCAAGGAGGCTGCCCTGGGCTATGCAGAACTGGCCAGAACAGCTCCACCTGCCTGCTCACAAGAAGCCTGGACTCTGTTAGGTGAGACTCTCAATATTTCTTTTTAGATTTTATTTTTATTTGTGCACACGTATGTGTGTGTGCATGTCTGTGTGTGTGCATGTGTGTGTGTGTGTGTGTGTGTGAGAGAGAGAGAGAGAGAAAGAGAGAGAGAGAGGAGAGAGAGAGAGAGAGACATGTGCAGGTACTCTCAGAAACCAGAAGAGGGTGTTGGATCCCCTGGATCTCGAATTACAGGCAGTTGAGAGCCACTTGGAATAGATGCTAGGAAATGAACTCCAATCCTCTGCAAGAGTAGCAAGTGCTCTTAACCACTGAGCCATCTCCCCAGCCCCAGTTCTTGATCTTTAACTCTCCAAGCCATGTCCAGTCATATGCCAGCCCAGGACCACCAGCCACAGGTATCTGGAACCTTACCACTGTGAGGTTCAGCGCAGTTTCCTCTGAGAGGGACTTGTCAGGTAAGCTGAGGGACACATTTTGAAGGTAGCGCAGCACAGTTCCAGGTCTCTGGAAGTGTTTTCTCTCCTCAGTAAGGTTGGTTATTATGGGATGATAGGCATCTGTAGGCATCTGAAAGGCAATGGTCACATGACTTCCTGCTAAGAACCAAAGCAGGGCATTTTACAGATATTCCATGAAAGTGACAAGGCCTATCACATATAGGGACACATCCGTGAAGGGTCTGCGTATGGCAATGCCTTATCCTCACAGCCATCTTATGAAACAAAAACTGTTTAAAAGACAGAACTAGCCACAGAGGGGCTGGCATGAAGTCAGTGACTGGTAAACAGAGACCTGAAACCAAGCATACCCTCGAGTCTAGACATTTACCATCAAAGTCCCTGAGCAAGGGAAATTCTTTGGTCACAAACGCTAATTTGAAGCAACCACTTTCTCTATGAATTGACCCTTTTCTCTACTATGAGAAGAAAGGGGATAACCAAGAGTTGGTCCAAGGTGGGTTCTGATTTCCCAAGAAACCATCTTGGGGATCATTGGTCCCCAGGAGTCTCCTATCCTTCTCGAAGGGCACCTAGGGTTCCTGGGGACAGGCACCAAGAATAGTCTTTTTTCAGTCACTCTAGACACCAAGAAATACCCTGGAGCTGGTTTCCCCTCATGGTTATTTCTGTCTGGATGTGACACTGCCAATGAGAGAGCCCAGCCCCACAGGCACACTGCACAGGCCAACATAACAAGAGGTCAGTGTTAGGGTTTGGATATGAAGTGCCCCCAAATGGTCTCAGTGTGAAAGGCTTGGTCTCCAGTGGGTGGTGCTCTTGGAAATGATTGGATCATACAGGAGTGAACTTCATTGATGGGTTAAACCCATCAATGATGATGAGTTCGTATGTAGTAGAATGGGAGAGTGAAGGTAGGGCCTAGGGGAAAGAAAGAGGACATGCCATTGGGGGCACTTTAGTCCCTCCCCCCCCCCTCCCTCCCTCCCTCCCTCCCAGGCCTTCCACCACATTTCTGCCTTGCCTCAGGCCCACAGCAATGCACCCAGTGCACCATGGACTGAAACCTCTGAAACCCTGAGGCAAAATAAGCCCCTCTTCTCTTAAGTTGTTTTCTCAGATATTTTATCACAGCAATGAGAAGTGACTAGGACAAGGGGCAAAGGAAAATGCCCCTGCTCACCATGAAGTATCCCGTGGGTATCGCCGGCGGTGCTGAAGACAGCAGAACATGCTTTCCTGAAAGAAATGAATGACACTTTAGTGAGGGCTAAGTCACCTTTTCTCAGCCCCTGGAGGGTTTGTCCTTATTCAGAATCTACCAGCCTGAGACATCCTGCAGAAGCATGGGATATTTTGAGTATGGATGTTACTGGGAGGATAAAGGGCTCATAAATCAGCCTAAAAGGTAGATTATATGGATTTTCCCAGCAGAAATTATTTTTCCATTTAGATTCCAAATTGCTTCTGAACACCATTCATGCAAGTCATCACATAAAAAAGATGATTTTATGCAAGGTCTCACCAATTTTAAATAAATAAAGAATGAAAAATAGGCTTCAACAGCACCCAGGCTTATCACAGATAAGACACAGAGTTCTGAATCACTGAGTGCTATGGTGTGAATTGGAAGTGTCCCCAACCCTAGAATGTTTGGTCCCTAGATGGTGGTGTTATTTTTTGGAAGGCTCTGGAAACTCTGGGAGGTAGAACCTCACTAGAGAAACTGAGTCACTAAGAACAGGCTCCTGAGACTATACTATCCCTGATCTCTCTCTCTCTCTCTCTCTCTCTCTCTCTCTCTCTCTCTCTCCTTCCTGACCCACTATGATGTGAGCAGCAGTCTTCGGTCATCATGACCTTCTGTTCAAATGCATGGAGTTCGGTGAGCATAAACTGAAGCCTCTGAAACCAGGAGCCAAGACAGACTGATCCTACTCTAAGTTGTTTCCATCAAGTATTTTGTCACGATAGGAAAGTAACCAGTACTTTAGTTTAGAATGGACATGAGCCCTGGGAACCCCAGAGTGAGGAAACAAGACTGGACTCCAAAGAAGTGGTGGAGGAGACAGAATCTCTCCCATCCTGCAGAGCCAGGTTATTCTCTCTACTGAAGACCATGGTTAATTATTAGCCTTGTGTCCAAGGTCAAAGACAAAGCCAGGACTTACTGTTTTCCACCTCTGCTCCACTGACTATTATTTCCTGACAAGAACATACCAGACTTCACTAGACATTTGGCCTCATTTTCAGGAACCATCTCGAGGTTGTTTTGGGTAACCTGAGAAAATGACTCTATTAACCTGGCTGGCTTGAGAGTGGCTAGGCCCTTTGGGGCTGGGTGGGGTGGGGTGGCTGGGGATGCAGAGCTGGACCCCAAAGCTAGTTTGTTCTCCAAGTCTAAGTGATAGTCTTTGTGTGGGTGCCAAGAAATTACAGGGCAACGACATCAGTCACACTCCCTTTAACTCATGTAAGGCTACAAGATCAAGGACGATGGAAATGAGTCTGTAGGTGGCCCTGCCACACTGTGAGTTTGAGATGAGAAGTGAGACTCAGTTGTACCCTTGGTCCCTGTGACCTTGCTATGGGGTCATCTGACAGATGGAGTGTGTTTCTAGTATTCATAGACACATATGTTCCGATCTCATGGTTCTGGGCCCAGCCTCTCCTTCCTTTACCACTGTAATGAAGCTGCTCCTCACTTGAGTGACAGGGACTTCTTTTTAAGGAGAGTGGAATGTTTAGAAATGAGATACTCACCTGTGAATTTACTAAATGCCACCAAATTGTTTACTTTATTATCATTATCTTTTTATTTGTGTGTATGCATATGTGCTTGTGGAGGCCAGAAATCAACCTCAGGTGTCATTCCTAAGGAGCCATTCACCATATTTTTTGTGACAGGGTCTTTTGCTAGTACCCAGGGCTCCTTGATTAGGCTAAGTTGGCTGGACAGTGAGCCCCAGGGGTTTTCCTGTGTCTGTCTCCCCAGCACTGGGACTATAAACCTGAGTCACCGCACCTTGCTTTTTTATGTGGGTACTGGGGATTAAACAAGGGTCCTCATGCTTAAGAAGCAAGTGTTTTACCTACTGAGCTGTATCTCCAGCTCCATATTTTAACACTGATCACTTTAAATGGTTACACAGATGTCATAAGAATTTTAGCTCAGCTTTTTAAAAGTCTCATGGCTCACCATGCAAATCAAAGATTTAAACTGAGTTCATTTGCCCACAGCCCCCCATAGCCCCCCACCAACTGCCTGTACCAAAGAGGAAGGGGTCCCTCAGGCTCTGAGGGCCCAGCAAATGATGTGCACCTGGGAGGTATTTGTTAAGGACCTAAATATCTGCCACTAAATCCTCTGTAATCAGCCTTGGCATACCCCGTGGAGCCCTGCAAACATGGGAGAATATTAATCTCAGTGTCTCTGGTGAACTGCTCACTCATTTATCTTTGGGGAACAGGTGTCCCAAACCTCTACTGTGCTTATCAGGTTCATTAAGACACATCTCACACCTGCAGCCCTGACTGCTATGACAGGATCCTGGGAGCAGAGGAGTGCTGGGAAGGGGAGTTCTGTGCTAGATGTCCCTAGGTACAGACCCCAGGTGCACCCACAGCCTTCCCACACACTGACCGATGGCAGCCGTGAAGTACATCTCGATCTCATCAGGAGTCAGTGCACGTTCCCAGATAATGAACTCATCAAAAGCTCCACTCTCATAACGCTTGATCTGGTCCTGCTCAGACCCAATCACCAGGTTGACGTGGGGCTCCCCATAGGTATGAGACACTTTCCCACTTGGGTCTGAGGTGCTCAGGGTCCCGTTGACATAGACTTTCAGACCCTCCTTAGATTTCCACGTGAACAGGACATGAGTCCAATAAGGACCTAGGAGAGAGTGAAAATGCATCCTGAGCACAGTGTTTCCCATTTGTAAACACAGCCCTTTTTCTTATGATTGTCTGTCACCTTTGGCTTTAGTGAATCCTACTATGAATCAGTGTATCCTGACTCCCATCAGCCTTTGGAGCACAGAGGCAGAACTGACCTTTGCTCCTACTCAGAAATTCCAAAAGTAGTTCAAGATCTCTTATTATTTTAACACAAAATTTTAAAACAAATTTTGATACCTACAAGCAAAGATAATAAATAAAGGGGGTTTTCGTTTTATTTTACTTTTTGTCTTTTTGAGACAGGGTCGTCCTGTAGTCCCAGCTGGCCTGGAACTCACTATGTAGACCAGGCTGGCCTTGATCTCACAGAGATTCATCTGCCTCTGCCTCCTAAGTGCTAGGATTACAGGTGTGCCTCGCCATGCCCGGCAATAAAGTATTTTTTTAAAGGCAAGAACCAAACACCTGCCAATCAGATCATGATCCTAGTTGGAAGAACTCAATATGCTCAAAATCCTTTCAACCTCATGCTGGCAGCCAGCACAGGAGCAGTGAAAATGAAAGATGCACATGGGTTGGAAAGAACATAATAAAAGTAACTCTGTTATCAATAATAAAAACAATAAAGAAACCCATACATGATGGGAGCACGACTGAAAGGTGTAAAGCTGACAGACAAGTGTCAGTTGCCTTCCTTCTTGACAGGAATGAACACATGGGATCTGAAATTCCAAAACATATTTCATTTACATTATCACTAAAAAAGAAGAAAAAGGCATCAGAAACACTTAGGTAAAAGTCTAACAAATATGCATAATACTGAGGAAGAGACTGGGGTAGTGGCTCAGTGGAAAGAGAATTTGCCTCTGCAAGCATAAGGACCTGAGTTTAAACCTCCAGTATCCACATAAAAACTGGGGCCTGTAACTCCAGCATTGTTGGGTGGAAACAGGAATATCCCAGGAGCTTGCTGACCAGCCTGCTTAGCCTCAAACTTCCAGTTCCATGAGAGACCCTATTTCAAGAGAATAAGGCAGAGAATGCAGTGTGTGCATGCACACACACACACACACACACACACACACACACATAC